GGGGGGTGGGTCCCAGGAGTTTTTTATTTTGGGGAGGGGGTCTCACCTTCCTCCTCTCGGCCGCCGCCTCCTCGCCCTCCTCATCCTCCTCGTCCACGTATCTCCTGCGGGGAGAGGAAGAGGAAGAGAGGAAGAGGAAGGTCAGGACACCCCCAGGGTGGGGGTCTCAAGACCCCCCTCCCTCCCCCCCACCACAGAAGCCCCCTCCCCAAATAAACTCCCCCCCCCTTCTCCAGTCCAGCGCCTGCCGGGGGCACCGGGGGGCACCGGGGGTTACCGGGGGGCACCGGGGGGTTACCGGGGGGTTACCGGAGGGAGGGGAGGAGCCGCTCACCACGTCGTCGTCGCCGCTGGAGTCGGAGCTGGAGCTGCTGGAGGAGGCGTCGCCGTAACGGTCGCGAACTGCCGGGAACACCGGGAACCGGGAATGGGGATGGGGACACCGGGAGTGGGGATGACGGGGACACCGGGAATGGGGATGGGGACACCGGGAACGGAAATGGGAATGGGAACACTGGGAACGGAAACGGTCAGAACCCGGAATGGGAACACGAACGGGAACGGTCGCGAACTGCCGGGAACACCGGGAACCAGGAATGGGGATGGAAATGGGGACAGGAATGGGGATGGGGACGGGGACACCGGGAATGGGGACGGGAACGGGAATGGGAACAGTCAGAACCGGGAATGGGAATGGGGATGGGGACACCGGGAATGGGAATGGGGATGGGAACAGTCAGAACCGGGAATGGGAATGGGAACACCGGGAACGGGAACACTGGGAATGGGAATGGGGATGGGAACGGGGACAGGAACGGGGATGGGGACGGGGACACCGGGAGTGGGGACGGGGACACCGGGAACGGGAATGGGAACACCGGGAATGGGGATGGGAACAGTCAGAACCGGGAATGGGAATGGGAACGCCGGGAACGGGAACACTGGGAATGGGAATGGGGATGGGAACAGTCAGAACCGGGAATGGGAATGGGAACGCCGGGAACGGGAACACTGGGAATGGGAATGGGGATGGGAACGGGGACAGGAATGGGGATGGGGACGGGAACACCGGGAATGGGAACACCGGGAATGGGGACGGGAATGGGGACGGGGGAACTGGGAATGGGAACGGTCATGAACTGCCGGGAATGGGAACACCGGGAACGGGAACGGGGACAGTCAGAACCGGGAATGGGAATGGGAACAGGAATGGGAACGGGAACACCAGGAATGGGGATGGGAACGGGGACAGGAATGGGGATGGGGACGGGAACACCGGGAATGGGAACACCGGGAATGGGGATGGGAACAGTCAAAACCGGGAATGGGAACGGGAACAGGAACAGGAATGGGGACGGGAACACCAGGAACGGAAATGGGAATGGGAACACTGGGAATGGGGACGGGGACAGTCAGAACCGGGAATGGGAATGGGAATGGGGGAATCGGGAACGGGGATGGGAACGGTCATGAACTGTCGGGAACGAATGGGAACACCGGGAACAGGGGGATGGGGATGGGGACGGGGACAGGGGACGGGGACAGTCAGAACCGGGAATGGGAACACCGGGAACAGGAATGGGAATGGGGGAATCGGGAACGGGAATGGGAACAGGAACGGGGATGGGAACGGTCATGAACTGTCGGGAACGGGAACACTGGGAACCGGGAATGGGAACGGGGACAGGAATGGGGATGGGGACGGGGACAGTCAGAACCGGGAATGGGAACAGGAACACCGGGAACGGGAATGGGAACAGGAACGGGGATGGGAACGGTCATGAACTGTCGGGAACGGGAACACTGGGAACCGGGAATGGGAACGGGGGAATCGGGAATGGGAATGGGACTGGAACGGGAACAGTCAGAACCGGGAACGGGAATGGGAACGGTCACGAACTGCCGGGAACGGGAACACCGGGAACGGTCAGAACCGGGAATGGGGACGGGAACGGGAATGGGAACAGCCGGGAATGGGAACGGGAATGGTCAGAACCAGGAACGGGAATGGGGGAATCGGGAATGGGAACGGTCAGGAATGGGAATGGGAGCACCGGGAATGGTCAGAACCGGGAACGGGGAACGGGAACATTCAGAACTGGGAATGGGAACCGGGACACCGGGAACGGTCAGAACCGGGGAAACCGGGAACAGGAATGCTCAGAACCGGGGGGAACCGGCACTGGAGGAACCGGGAATGGGAACGGGGGCACCGGGAATGCTCAGAACGGGGGGGAACCGGGACCGGGAACGCTCAGCACCGAGGGGAACCGGGACCGGGGCACCGGGAACGCTCAGCACCGGGGGGCACCGGTTCCCCCCGATCGGGGCTGCAGCTCCCGGTGCCAGTCCCGTGCCTGGTCCCGTTCTCCCCTTCCAGGCGCGGCTCCCGGTCCCGTTCTCCCCTCCCCGATCCCGTTCCCTGTCCCGTTCCCCCCGTTCCCGGTGTCTCCCGGCGCTGCAGCTCCTCCCGCCCGCTCCCAGCCCCGTTCCCGGCCCGCTCCCGGAGCCTCACGGCGCTGCAGCTCCTCCCGCCGCCGGTACCGCCCGTAGCGCTCGGCGAACGCCGCGTTCACGCGGAGCTCGGGCTCCGCCATGGCCGCCCACGTGACCGCCCGGTACTTCCGGTTCCGCCGCCACCTGACAAGATCGCCCCGCCCCTCCCTCCGCCGGGAGGCCCCGCCCCTTCTATCTCTTAAAAGGGCAACGGCGGCCAAAGTAGCGGGTGGGGTCCACCGCGGCACTCTGCGCCCCCCGCCCCACATCGCCCCTCTCTGCCGGGACCCCCAAACTGGGACCAGCGTCCCCCCGCTCTGCTCCCACTGGAGACCCCCCAGAGCAGCGGGACAGGGTCTCAGCTCCATCTTTATTGAGGCAGAGGAGGGGGGTGGGCGTGAGGGGGGAACTGGAGATGAGTGGGGGGTCCCAGGGGGTCGGGGGGTCCCATGGGAGACCCCCCCTCAGCTGGTGCGGATCTGGTAATCTGCAAGACAGAGAGAGGAGGTGAGCTGGGGGGCCGGGGCTGAGGGTCTCAGGAGGATTTGAGGGAGGGGGGTTGGGGGACAGAAGTTAGGGGGACACCCCAGGAGAGGACTTTGGGGCCAGGGGCTGGGGGACAGAGAGGACACCCCAGGCCAGGGCTTTGGGGTCCCAAAGGGGACACCCCAGGAGAGGGCTTTGGGGTCACAGAGGGGCCACCCCAGGAGAGGGCTTTGGGGTCACAGGGGAGACACCCCGGGACAGAGATTGGGGTCACAGAGGGGACACCCAGGCCAGGGATTGGGGTCACAGGGGGGACACCCCAGGACAGAGATTGGGGACACAGGGGGGACACCCCAGGCCAGGGATTGGGGTCACAGGGGGGACACCCAGGCCAGGGCTTTGGGGTCACGGGGGGACACCCCAGGCCAGGGATTGGGGTCACAGAGGGGACACCCAGGCCAGGCCCGGGCCAGGCGCTCACGGGGAAGGATTTGATGCTCCAGACCACCACGTTCCTCTCGGGCAGGTACCGAGCCGAGCCCACCGTGGTTTTGAACTTGGGCGAGTCGGCGTCGCTGGGCACCGGCACCGAGATCTCCACGCCGTTGGCCACCGACTGCTTCTTGAACTGGCCCTTGGCCTGCAGGGACACGCACGGGGAGGAGGGGGCTCCCTGGGGGTCCCCCGAGGGGCTGGGGGGGACGCCCGGGCTCACCTTGACCATGATCTCCACCCGGCTGTGGGAGAACTTCTCGATGATGGACTCGATCCAGATGAGCGGCTTCACCTGGGGGGGGCACAGGGGTCACGCCTGGAGGGTCCCCAGGGTCCCCTGGGTGTCCCCAAAACCCCAGGAGGGGTCCTGGCCACACGGACAGAGGTGCTGGACACATGGGGAGGGGTCACAACCCCAGGGGAGGGGTCACAAACTCACGGGGAGGGGTCTCAGCCCCTCAGAGTGTGGCCCTGAACCCCCAGACTGGGTTTGCCGGGGAGGGGTCACAACATCAGGGGAGGGGTCACAACCCCAGGGGGAGGGGTCACAACACCAGGAGGAGGGGTCACAAACTCACGGGGAGGGGTCACGACCCCACGGGGAGGGGTCACAACACCAGGGGGAGGGGTCATAACCCCAGGGGGAGGGGTCACGACCCCACGGAGAGGGGTCACAACACCAGGGGGAGGGGTCACAAACTCACGGGGAGGGGTCACGACCCCACGGGGAGGGGTCACAACACCAGGGGGAGGGGTCATAACCCCAGGGGGAGGGGTCACAAACTCACGGGGAGGGGTCTCAGCCCCTCAGAGTGTGGCCCTGAACCCCCAGACTGGGTTTGCAGCCCCCAGACGGGGGTCCCAGCCCCATGAAGAGGGTCCCAGCCCTCAGACTGGGTTTACAGCCCCCAGACAGGGGTCCCAGCCCCATCACAGGAGGGTCCCAGCCCCATGACAGGGGTCCCAGCCCCGCGGCGGGGGTCCCAGCCCCATGACGGGGGTCCCAGTCCCATGACAGGGGTCCCAGCCCCCAGGCAGGGGTCCCAGCCCCCCGATGGGGGTCCCAGCCCCACGGCGCCCCCACCTGGGTGTGCAGGCGGTAGGACATGAGCTCGAAGTCGCCGTCGGGGGGGATGAAGGAGATGGTGCGGTCGTTGTCGAAGCGGGACAGACGGACGCACTGGTGGAACTTCACGTCCTCCAGCTCCACCGACTTGTTCTTCCCCCCTGGGAGGGAGCGGGGGGCTCAGGAGGGGTGGGGGGCGCGGGGATGAGCCCCCCACCCCCCCAGCCCGGCACTCACGGCCCGTCAGCTCGAAGAGGACGCGGTCGTTGAGGCCCAGGCGCAGCTCCGGCATTCCCGTGAGGAAAACCTTCAGCTTGATGGTGCCCACCACCTCGCTGAGCACCACGCTGCCGTTGGCGCTCACCTGCGGGCACAGCCGGGCTGGCACCACCGGCTCCGTGCTGGGCATCGGCGCCCTGCCCAGCCCTGGCAGCGCCGCGGCCGCGGCACCGCCGCCTTCCTCGTGCGCGGCGCAGCCCGTCCCAAATCCCAGCTCCCATCACAGCCCGTCCCAAATCCAGGCTCCCAGCCCATCCCAAATCCCAGCACGTCCCAAATCCCAGCTCCCATCACAGCCCGTCCCAAATCCCAGCCCGTCCCAAATCCCAGCACATCCCAAATCCCAGCACATCCCATCCCAGCTCCCATCACAGCCCGTCCCAAATCCCAGCCCGTCCCAAATCCCAGCACATCCCAAATCCCAGCTCCCAGCCCGTCCCAAATCCCAGCTCCCATCACAGCCTGTCCCAAATCCCAGCCTGTCCCAAATCCCAGCTCCCATCACAGCCCGTCCCAAATCCCAGCCCGTCCCAAATCCCAGCTCCCAGCCCGTCCCAAATCCCAGCTCCCATCACAGCCTGTCCCAAATCCCAGCACATCCCAAATCCCAGCACATCCCATCCCAGCTCCCATCACAGCCCGTCCTAAATCCCAGCATATCCCATCCCAGCTCCCATCACAGCCCGTCCCAAATCCCAGCCCGTCCCAAATCCCAGCACATCCCAAATCCCAGCTCCCAGCCCATCCCAAATCCCAGCCCATCCCAAATCCCAGCCCACCCCAAATCCCAGCATATCCCATCCCAAATCCCACCACATCCCAAATCCCAGCCCATCCCAAATCCCACCACATCCCATCCCAGCTCCCAGCCCATCCCAAATCCCAGTCTTCATCCCCATTCCCACCCCAATCCCCATCCCCATCCCAATCTTCATCCCTTTCCCACCCCAATCCTCATCCCCACCCCAATCCTGCTCCCTTTCCCACCACAACCCCCATCACATCCCACCCCAATATCCATCCCCTTCCCACCCCAATCCCAATCCTCATCCCCATCGCAATCCCTCTCCCTTTCCCCCCAGCCCCTCTCCCTTTCCCACTCCACTCCCTCTCCCTTTCCCACTCCAGCCCCTCACCAGCAGGTTCACGGCCTCGATGACGTCGATGAACACCTCGTTCTTCTTGTAGCGGATTCCCTCGGAGCGCCAGGACACCGCGTTGGTCACCGTGGTGGGCACGCGCGACTTCCCCGTCTCCAGCTTGTTCCCCTCCTGGGTGATGTACCTGCGGAGGGCTCAGGGGGCTCAGGGGGCTCTGGGAGGGGGGGGTCCCGGTGCCCCCCCCAGACCCCTCCCCACGCTCACTCCTGCAGGATCTTGCTGTCGGTGGTCTGCGGGAAGCCGAAGTCCATCAGCTCGTCCAGCAGCTCGTAGACGATGACGAAGTTGTCGCGGATGCTCTCCTCCTCCAGCTCCTTGAAGTACTCACAGAACACCTTGGGGGGGGGACACCAAACCCCTCTGTCACCCCCTCCCCATGAGGAGACACCCAGAATTAGGGTCTCACCCTCTGAGACCCCCCTCCCCAACTCACCTCCACCACCTTGTAGAGGAAGGAGAAGACCAAGGAGGCATTCCCGTTCTTCTTGGTGGTGGCCACCACTGCGGGGGTTAAGGAAAAAGGGGGGGGGGGCGCACCGGTGGGTCCCCGAGGCTGGGGGGGGGGTCCCGGGGGGGGGAGGGGGCTCC